TTGATTGGTCCTATATGGTGTGAATCTTGATTAATCGAATCAGTATATACAAGATGGTAATGTTGCTGCAATGTGACCAGGAGGTCACATGTTCGAGCCGTGGAAATAGCCTCTTGCAAAAATGCAGGGTAAGGCTGCGTACAATAGACCATTGTGGTCCGGCACTTCCCATGGACCTCGTGCAGTAGGCGAAGCTACTGTTGGATTATATATCACAGCGGAAGCAAAGCGTGAACAAAGCAAATCAATATCCGTCTCCAGTTCCAGAGTTGCAAGATCTCAGCAAACTTCCACAATCTTCTACAGTGTTACCCAAATAATATCCGGAAAGAGAGAACTTCGGGTGGGCGAAATTCAAGGAACAAAAATGTGTGGTTTTTCAGTGTAAAAAACGGCCAGCCATATACCATGTATATATAGCCACGTTTTTTAGGTTAAAACCTTTTTCCAAAACCTGTTAGTTTTCTTCTTCCACTAAGGAAAGGTTTCCTTTATTTCCTATTATTTAGGCACAGTAGGGACCACATAATTTAATGAACAAGGCTTCCTATTATGGAATTAATTTCGAAATTTGAAATTAATTTCTTCCAGAATAAATTACGAATTATTCCACTAAAAATTCGTAATTGCACTCCTTAGTTCAATTTCGAAATTCTTCCATAAAACCTTATTTAACTCCCCATGTTAAGATTTAGATACTAACCAATCAAATTAAATTACTGACAATTTAATTTATTGATTACTTCCTTTAGACTTTCACTTAACTTATTTCATGTGTCGGATACAAAATCCATCGGCCGGTTTACACATGAAAACTTATAAGCTTTCATAAAGGAGTATCATCAATCTCAAAAACCGAGACATAGATTCTATCAACTAATTATGACTTCGCCAATGTATATCATTATTGTCCAATTTACCAGGCTTATTGACCGACGAAAGAATCTCGCTTTTAATAAATCAAAATAATAAACAATATACACAACTAATAATACTTATATCAAGATAAAGAGTATACGTACATTGAATGGACTAGAGAAATTATTTTATTAAGTCAGTATAAAATACATATCTCTACTTGATCCGTTCAATACGTACAAAATGTACTAGCACAAGAAGTTGGAATTAAACTATTTCCATAATCAAGATAAATTATATTTAATCTTGTGCTACAACCATTTCGTTGGTTTGTCCAATTCCATCATTAGATTGTGAACATAAACTTTATGACTTATAAGAACCGATGATTTAATCTTTCGTGTATAAGCTAAACTCTATACACTAGAACATCTACTATATAAGCAACGGACACACAAACAAATACATGATCTATTTAAAATAAAACTTTATTGAATTGAATAAATAAATAAACAATTGTTCCATAAAGAATACTATAACAATACACATGGTTTATAGTATATCTTAACAATCTCCCACTTAGACTCATAATCATGCATCTACAATTATGACACCCATTCCGTCTACATGCCTATCAAAAGTCTTCTGTGGCAAGCTCTTAGTAAGCGGGTCCGCCAAGTTGTTCTCCGATGCAATCTTGGTGACTACTACATCCCCTCTTTGCACCATCTCACGAATTAAATGATATTTACGCTTAATGTGCTTTGCTCTTTTATGGCTTCGTGGCTCCTTTGAATTTGCAACCGCACCACTATTATCACAATAAAGTGCTATTGGTGCTTGAATCGAGGGAACCACATTCAACTCTCTTAGGAAGTTCCCGAGCCAAACCGCCTCTTTGGCCGCCTCTGAGGCAGCCACATATTTTCGGTTTACATGGTGGAATCAGCAACACAAGTTTGCTGATGCTCCTCCAACTTATGGCTCCACCTCCCAGAGTAAATACATTTCCTGAGGTAGACTTTCTAGAATCTCTATCTGATTGGAAATCCGAATCAGTGCGCCCAATAGGCACAAGTTCATCCGAATGGTAGACTAGCATGTAATCCCTAGTTCTTTTCAGGTACTTGATTATATGCTTAACCGTTGTCCAATGCTCTCTCCCAGGATTTGACTGAAATCTGCTAACAACGCTAACGACAAAGCAGATATCAGGTCTAGTACATAACATAGCATACATCAGACTCCCCACAGCAGATGCATAAGGGACCGCCTTCATTTTTCTATCTCTTCATCAGTTTTGGAGACTGATCTTTAGATAGAGAAATTCCATGCCTGAAAGGGAGAAATCCTTTCTTGGAATCATGCATGCTAAACCTGGAGAGTATTGTATCAATATAAAGAGCCTGGGGTAAGCCTAATATCCTTTTCTTGCGATCTCGTAAAGCTTGATCCCAAGGATATGAGCCGCTTCTCCCAATATTCATATCGAAGTGCATGGACAACCACTGTTTAACTGAATCCAACATTCCCACATTATTTCCTATGAGCAATATGTCATCTACATACAAGATTAAAAACGCCACTTTGTCCCCATCACATTTTTTGACAAGACTCGTTAAGCTACTGATCAAAACCAAAAGTTTTAATCGCCTTGTCAAAACAAGTGTTCCATGCCCTAGATGCCTGTTTTAGTCCATAAATGGACCTTTTAAGCTTACACAACATGTGTTCCTTACCACTTTCTACGAAACCGTCTGGTTGCATCATATAGATGCACTCATCAAGACTTCCATTAAGGAAAGTTGTCTTGACATCCATTTGCCAAATCTCATAATCATAATGAGCAGCAATGGATAAGAGAATCCTTATAGACTTAAGCACGGCTACCGGCGAGAAGGTTTCCTCATAATCGATCCCTTCTTTCTGAGTAAACCCTTTCGCTACAAGCCTTGCTTTAAAAGTTTGCACTTTTCCGTCTACACCTCTCTTTTTCTTATAGATCCACTTGCATCCAATAGGTTTAACCCCATCAGCTGGTTCTACAAGATCCCAGACTTGATTAGAGTACATAGACTCCATCTCTGATTTCATAGCAGCAACCCTCTTATCGGCATCTTTATCATGTAGTGCTTGGTCATAATTGACAAGTTCGAAAGTAGGCTCCTCAGGGATCCTATCATATGATTCTCCCAAGAGCGTATAACGAACTGGCTGTCTTATTTCTCTCCCACTACGACTACGCACTACATCGGTTGCAACTACACCATTTTGATTTTGTGGTTGAACCACATCATTATCAGGAATCTGAGTCTCCATGCAATCACAGGGATATCAACGACTTCTTCCTGTTGTGTAGTCTGCTCAACAGAACTCCCACTACTTTGTGGCAGTATGACTTCGGGAACTTGTTCTTACGGGACATCGAGTCTATTGACATTTCTCCCACTACTAAAATGCAATGGTATGTCAAAATCGACTTCCGGGGTTTGCATCTGGTCGTTTTGTTTATAAGATGACTGAGTTTCCATTCCTTTGCTAAGGTCCTGTAAAACGAGTTTACTTCTAGGAACATGGTTCATTAAATAGTTCTCTTCAAGAAACTTGGCATTTGTGCTAACAATTACCTTTTTCTCTTTAGGAGAATAGAATAAACCACCTTTCGTCCCTTTTGGATAACCTACAAACACGTATACGTCCGTTCTTGCCTCCAATTTATCCGTTTTCTCTTTCAGCACATGTGCCGGACAAACCCAAACTCGAATATGCCACAGACTAGGCTTGCGCCCAGTCCACAATTTTGTAGGGGTCAAAGGTACTGACTTTGAAGGAACTAAGTTCAGAATGTAATTTGCTGTTTCTAAGGCATGTCCCCAAAAGGACGAAGGCAAATCGGAATAACTCATCATTGATCTAACCATTTCCATAAGAGTCCTATTTCTTCTTTTAGCTACACCATTTTGTTGTGGTGTTCCAGGTGAAGATGATTGAGATGTAATTCCACATTCTGATAAATAACTAATGCAATCCGCAGAGAGGTACTCCCCACCACCATCAGATTGTAGTGTCTTGATATATTGATTATGTCGTTTTTCAGTCTCAGTCTTAAATTCTTTGAACTTTTCAAAACATTTAGACTTTCGACGCAACAAATAAATATATCCATATTTTGAGTAATCATCTGTGAAAGTCACAAAATACTCAAAATCACCTCTTGCTTGGACATTCATTGGACCACACAAATCAGAATGAATTAACATTAATTTATCACTTGCTCGATTTCCTTTTGAGGGGAAATTTCGTTTTGTCATTTTTCCTTCTAAACAAGATTCACAAGTTGGTAGTGCCTCCACTTTCAATGAACTTAAAGGTCCATCCTTGACCAACCTTGAAATGCTGTTTAGATTTATATGACCCAAACGCAAGTGCCATAAATATGTTTCACTTAATTCAGAAGAACGTTTTCTCTTATTTGGTAAATCAACATAATTCAGTTCTTTAGGTTGTAGCGGTTTAGGAATAGAGTCAACAACAAAAAGATCATTAATCAATGTAGCCGAAGAGAGATAACGTTTATCATGAGTAATAACACATTTATCAATATCATGAAAATTAATGCCATAACCATCTCTCATAGCGGTAGAAATCGAAATTAAATTCCTTCTAACGGAAGGTACATATAATGTGTCTTTTAAAGCTAAAACTCTACCACTACCAAACAAAATACTAATATTTCCTAATGCTAAAGTTGGGGCTGCCGAACCATCTGCTTGATAAACATTGATTTCTCCTCTATTTAGCCGGCGCGTTACCTGAAACCCCTGCAAATAAGTGCAGACATAATTAGCGGCTCCCGAATCTACACACCATGCCATGGTAGAAACAGCCGCTAAAAGAGTTTCAACGAAAAGTAGATGTAAATCACCTGGTTTATTTTTCAGCCTGGCCAGATAAGTCGGACACTGCTTCTGATGATGCCAGGCTGTTTGCAGTGATAACACTTGCCTTTAGCCTTTTTCACACCAGCAGTTGCGCCACGAACAAAGGGTTTTTGAGTCTTTTTCTTCTTCTCACCGCCTCTCGGCTTAGAAGCAAAACCTGCCTCAAAATTCAATGCCACAGGAGGAGCTTATAGTCTCTGCCTACTGCAGCTCATTCAGCAATTTTGCAAGTGACAAATCCATTTTGTTCATGTTATAATTCAGGCGATGTCACACCTCCTTTTTCTACCCGGAAGGGGTATAAGGGAGTTTTTCCAATTAAAGTGACAATAATCGAAACGGGATTATTTATTCAAATTCAGAGTCGCCACTTGGGATAATTTATGGTGTCCCAAGTTACCGGTTCAAAATCCCGAATCGAGGAAGTTTGACTCTATTTTACAGTCCGCGAAACACAGAAATCCGGGTAAGGAATTCTGATAGATCTTAAATACTCTTACCTTATATTTTAATGATCTAACAAACTTTCTGAGAAGAACCAGTTAGGGAACCTGATCTACCTTGGATTGCTGCAAACTCCAACGGACTCCAGTAAAAGATAAATTGCTACACTTATAGGAGCTAGGAACCAGACAAGGACCTGATGCTCTTGTGGTTCCTATATAGCAGCACAAGTCATTTGGACACAGCTGGAACTGAAGTGACTGGCGGTACTGTTTTTGCCACACTGCACCACACTGTCAGCCCACTCATTCTCTAACCAAACAAAGTACTCACATCATTTCAAGTGATGTGACCAAGATATACCAAAGGGTTTTTTATACAAAACATCACTGAATGGTTTCAGTTTCATTCATTCAAGCTTTTAGCAAAAACAGAAAAGATCAATCTCTCAAGCTTGAAGAACAAGGTTGAATGCTACTACGGACCAGTTCCAAAATGATTGATTATTGCTGTCCTAGTTGAGTTGTAACCTTGTTATTGCACTTACAATATCTCCTAAATTGCTTACTTAGAAGTTTATTGGTTAGGAACTCTCTTGTAAATCCTCAGACTCGTTGAGTTTAGGTTGTGGCTAGATTTAGTCATAAAGAAATGTCTTTGTAATTGTAGTATTGCAAAGTGGCTTGTGGTGATAGCACCACAAGTTAGAAAAAGCCTTCGTAACTAGGATAGTCACAAAGTGGCTTGTGGTAAAGGTGCCACACGTTTGTTTGAAGTCTTTACAATCGGAAGCATTGTAAAGTGGCTTATAATAGGTAAGATTACAAGTTAGTGAAGTTAAAAGCCTACAGGGTAGGTCGTGGTTTTTTGATCCCCTTGTGCAGGATTTTCCCACGTAAAAATCCTCTGCCTCATTTACTTACTATCTTACTAAGTGCTCTCAGCAGAAACTTGTAGAGGACCAGGTACTCTAAGATTTGGTGGACCCATACAACCTAACAATTGGTATCAGAGCAGGTTCCTCCTATCAGGTTAACACCTAGGAAGGATCCTCATGACCGCTCCACTAAATTTTGAAGAAGGACAATCCATATACCACCCACCTAAGTTTGATAGAAAACACTATTAGTGGTGGAAAGCTAGAACGCATGATTTCATCATGGCCGAGGATTGCGAGCTTTAGGATGTTATCTGCGATGGTCCGTTTGTTCCAATCAAGGTATAAAATGAATTTCCATTTTCAACAAAAAGGACCACCGATGAATACACTGAAGCAGATAAAGAAGTGATGGAGAAGAATTTTCGTGCCAAGAAAATCCTAGTAGATGGATTGGAACCTAAGAGTACGATAGAACCTTTACATGCGACACTGCCAAGGAAATATAGGAGGCTTTGCGAATAGCTTATGAGGGAACTATACAAGTAAAACTAGAAAAATCTAGCACTGATGATAGTTCTACGATGGCTGTTGAAGGCGAGGAGATTGGATATGACTCAAAGCTTGCTTTGATGACTCAATCAGACGATGATGAAGTCAATGACAACAAAGAGGTAACCTTCAGGGATGTTCAGAGAAATCTGAAATCCTATTCTCCACAAAAAAAACTCATGTGTTTAGCTGATGTTTTAATTACTGCCTTTTGTAATCTTGCGGAGGATAGGGATTCCTTGTTCTTAGAACTAGAAGAATCTGAACATATTAGAAAAGACTTAGTTGCTGCAATCACTGATCAATCGAAAGCCATTGAAATTCTTAGAAAAGAAAAGAGTGATCTCTTGGCAGAAACTTCTTACCAAAGGGAACCAATAGCAAAGCTTTTGACTGAGTCAAAACCTGAAAGCTCTGAAAGAGGAAAGGAGATAGTGAGTAAGGAATATTCTAGGCTTCAAGATGAGGTGAAGGCCTTGAGATGTAGGATGAGTGCTAAAATTGAGAAAAACGAGCTCCTCCAAGTCAATTTAGAAAAAGTAATGAATGATCTTGAAAAGTCTCTAAAGTGGACCTGGTCCGTAGAAGCTACCACGGCCTTGCTCACTAATGTCAGTGAAAAAGGGCGAACAGCAGGGTTCCCAAGGAAGAAAGATCCTTACAACCCTCACAGTAAGAACGCCACTACATCTGATAACTGGCCCCGTACCCAATGTGGGAACACTGGGCACTCCATGGAAAGTGTCCAGGCCAAGAATCAGTTAGTACCAAAAGATAAAGTGGCTGCTGAAACTGTGACCACAAAAGGGGGAGCAGGTTCCACTCACAGAAAATGCACTTTACCTGCATAGACTAAGAGAGCTCTTATTCATCCTCTTGGTTACTACAAGGGACCCAAACTTGTTTGGGTTCCTAAAACTAACTCCTAATTTTCTTGTGAAGGGAAGCGGTCAACAATGGTACATGGATAGTGGATGTTCGAAACATATGACTGGGAACACCACAGACTTTCTTTCACTAAAAGCCCTGCATGGAGGGAGTGTATCCTTTGGCAATGGAAAAAAGGGGTACATTCTTGGAGTTGGAAAAGTTGAGAAGTCACTCACTCACTCTATTGAAAATGTGTACTATGTCAATGGACTTAAAGATAGTCTCCTGAGCGTTTCTCAAATTTGTGATAAGGGAAACAAGGTGGAGTTCTTGTCCAAAATATGTACAGTCACTGACCTTGTGACTGGTGAAATAGTTCTAGTGGCCAAAAGATACAAGAACATCTACGTTGCTGACTTTGAATCCTTACAAAATGGTGATCTAAGTTGTCTGAAGGATGTTGACGATGATGCTGAACTTTGGCACAGAAGATTGGGACATGCAAGCTTTTCTCTTTTGAACAAACTAATTCAGAAGGACCTGGTCCATGGTCTGCCTGTGTCACAAGTCAAGTCTCAAAAGATTTGTGATGCCTGTGCCAGAGGAAAACATGTGAAGTCCTCCTTTAAGTCAAAAAGAGATGTGAGCACCTCAAAGCCGCTCGAGCTCCTGCATATGGATCTGTGTGGACCTATGAAGGTGCAAAGCAGGGGAGGAAAGAGATACATTTTCATGATTGTGGATGACTATTCCAGATTCACATGGACTCTGTTTCTCAGAACAAAAGATGAAACTTTTGAGGTATTTGTGGCCTTTGTGAAGAAAATCCAGGTAAAGATGGAGTCTAGAGTTGTTTGTATCAGATCGGATCATGGAACAGAATTTGACAATGTCAAATTTAATGAATTCTGCAATGAAAATAGAATCACTCACAACTTCTCAGCTCCCAGAACTCCCCAGCAAAATGGAGTAGTGGAAAGGAAGAACAGAACTTTGGAGGAAATGGCAAGAACAATGCTGATTGACAGTGGACTTGCAAAAAATTTCTAGGCTGAAGCTGTCAACACTGCCTGCTATTTAGTGAACAGGTGTATGATCAGATCATTTCTGAATAAGACACCTTATGAATTGTTGAATGGAAGAAAACCCAAGCTGACTCATCTTAGAACATTTGGATGCAAATGCTATGTTCTCAACAATGGAAATGATCAGCTTGGTAAATTCGATGCCAAGAGTGACGAAGGAATATTCCTTGGGTACTCTTCTCAAAGCAAGGCTTACAAGATATATAACAAGCGGACTCAATGTGTTGAGGAGAGTATCCATGTTATCTTTGATGAATCCATCATGTGAGAAGAGTGTTGAGGAAGATCAAGATGGAGAAACCTCACTTGTTCCTGGTGAAGTCATTAACATGCCAAACAGAAAGACAGACATGATGAGTCAAGTAAAGGAGTCAAATGAAGACAATGCTGCCTCATCATCAACAGAACCAAGCACCTCAATCATGACCACAGAAGCTGAAGAAAGGGTGGTTGATGCAGTTCAGGGAACTCCACTAGCACCTGAAAGAAGGATAGAGGAAGACCAGCCAAACATACTTCCCTCCTCTCAGAGTGAACCTCAGGTGTCTAATTGGAGACACCAAAGCTCTCACCCTATAGACAACATCATCACTCCTCTAGACTCTGGAGTACAAACCAGGTCAAGAGCCAGAAATTCACTTGCCTTTTCAGCGTTTCTCTCCCAGATAGAACCCAAAAACATCAAGGAAGCTTTGAAAGATGCAGACTGGATTACTGCCATGCAAGAAGAACTGCACCAGTTTGAGAGAAACAGTGTGTGGCACCTGGTACCCAGACCCCCAGATAGAACCATTATAGGAACCAGGTGGGTGTTCAGAAACAAGCTCGATGAACATGGAATTACCACAAGAAACAAGGCAAGGCTAGTTGTCCAAGGCTACAATCAGGAGTAAGGGATTGACTATGATGAAACGTTTGCTCCAGTGGCCCGGATGGAAGCTATCAGAATTCTAATCGCTTTTGCATCTCATATGGAATTCACCCTGTTCCAAATGGATGTCAAAAGTGCATTTTTGAATGTAATCCTTAAGGAAGAAGTCTATATAAAGCAACCCCCAGGGTTTGAATGTCATGAGCACCCTGAATATGTGTTCAAACTGGACAAAGCTCTGTACGGACTAAAGCAGGCTCCTCGAGCTTGGTATGAAAGATTGTCAAAATTTCTCTTAGAAAATGGTTTTAAGAGAGGGAAAATTGACAATACTCTTTTCTTAAAGAAACGAGGAAGGAACCTGCTCATTGTTCAGGTTTATGTTGATGATATCATTTTTGGGGCAACGGCTGACTCGCTGTGCGAAGAGTTTGCAAAACTTATGGGAAGTGAATTTGAAATGAGCATGATGGGAGAACTAAATTTCTTCCTGGGTCTTCAAGTAAAACAGTCTTCAAAGGTTACTTCCATTTGTCAGCAAAATACATTAGGGAACTTCTGAAGAGG